ATTGTTTGAATTTATAAAGAGGAGGGGGAGATAAGATGCAAGGGAGTTGAGCGAAGAAGAAGAGCTTTGACATTGGTTCTTGCTGGTGTACATTGTCTTTTGCAATCTTTTCTACTTCTTCTTCTTCTTCTTCTTCTTATCCTCTCCATCCTCTCAAGTTCATTCATTTCCTTTTGCAGTTGGTGAACATTGTGCTGATTGGTGAATTTGTACTTCGCAATTGGTCCGGGTCATAACACCCCGTTGAATTGGCACAGGAGGAGGAACCGGCCTCTTGGGTTTGTCTGGCATGTTGCTGTCGGCGTGGCCTGCTGCTGCAGCCATGGCTGTGCGTCGCTTGCGCGGGATCTGCGGTGCCTTGGGTCCCTGTTGGGGCTTGGCTGCCTTGGATCCGCGCTCTGCCAATCGTTGGCGGCGCTGCATTTAGTGTCCGACTGCACGTTGCTGTGGCACTCTGTTGACGTGGTACTCTGCTGACGTGGCACTTTGCTAACGTGGCACTTGACGTGTCACTCTGCTGATGTGTCATTGTGCTGACGTGGCACTCTGCTGACGTGTCACTCTGCCGATGTGTCCGGAGACTGCTGTCCGTAGAACCGAGAGGAGGAAAGAGAAGGTAGGGGTAGGAAGAAGGGAGGGCAGGCAAGCAATGCACAGACAGTCCCGTTCCGCCTTGACCTTGACACTAATCAAGAGAAAAATTCCCCAACCCCCGACAAATTTTCGAATAAATTAAATAAAAATTTAATCGAAAAAAATAGGAATTAATAAAAATTTAATTTCGGCAAGAGATTAAATACTTGATTAATGAATATTTACCTTTGCAACTATGAATTTCACAAACGGTAAATATTTAACCAAGAATATTTAAATTTGCATCAATAAAAGAAATGAATAAGTTTAAGCAAGTTTAAACATTTAGACATAACTTTCAAAAAATTTCACGAAATTTCGTCAGAAGAATTTAGCATCATCACGAGGTCACCTATTTAGTAGAGATCAATGGTAGCAGGAAGATACATGATTTGCTGGAAAGATTTAACTTTCAAACGCAAAAAAAAGATGCAGTTTGCAAAAAATGAAAGTTTCGTGCAGTTGCAGTTCAAATATGGCCTTG